CACCGCGACCTCGGCCGAGAGCAGGAGAAGGAACGGGGGGGTTTTTAGTCAGTAACAGTCTGACACTGTCTCTCGCCTTACCCTGGGCGGGAGAAGTCATTTGATGATTTTCTCCTGACAAAAAAAGAATAGGTTTTCTGTGTGACCCCGTCAATCGAAAACGTCACAGTTTATACATGACACATCAAGACTATTATTAAAAAACTTTGTATTTTTCGAAATTGACGAAGCAAGTGAGAGTATCCTTTTGACCTGCCGCTTGCAAACTTCTTTTTACCATTATCTCAAACGATTATCAACCTTATTTTCTTAGGCACAGAGGTAATACTAAATGTATCAGGAGTTAAGTAAGTTTAGAAATGCTGTATACAGTTCGTTTAAGTGATTATCAATCTTATTTTTTTAGATATAGAGGTTATGTCGAGTGCATGTGTTATTTTGTACAGATGTGCACCGGTGCAGTATTGAGCGGAACTCACACGCACCTGCTTCCGGTCGCGCGACGCACTTCCGGCTTGTAACAGCTGGCCGCTGTACTCGTTGTTAGGCGGGAGCATGCTTATGTTAGCTGTACTTTAGAAAACTTTTATTTAATACATTTATTTTTTTAAAGAAGTCTCAATAATTTTGTCGGTAACGTCTTTCTGGTTCGGTAGTTGTGGTCAATGAAAGCCAATTGGCGAGCCATGGTCGTAGCTTCGATTCTCGTGCTTTGTAAATGAATTCTATTTCTGATAAAGTCTCACCCGTTCTATTCACCAATAAGTTAACTGTTTTAAAGGGGTTGTCACATTGGAGGATCTGAAAATTTCCTTAAAAAACATCTAGATTTTGAAGTATTGCAAGATTTAACGCTAGACTAAGTACTCAAGAACAGACTCAATTTTAAGTTATCAAAATATAACATTTAAATTTAAACATAGCAATATAAACGTTTCTAATATTTTTAAACGTACCAGTTTCATACGTAAGTCGCTTCCACTTTGTGGCACAACAATAATTCGGAAATATACCTATACATACATATACATTCCTAGAGGAAATTATGAAATATTCATAATATAATTAATATTTTGTCTGATTCAAAATCTAAATAGATTTTTAAAGAGTCCTCACGTTAAGAAGTTGAAATAAAATTATACATAGGTATAGTTCAAGTGCATTTCTTCGAAACCTGCCGGCGACAAAGTTTCGAAGTGAACAAAGTTACTAAACTTTTCAATAAATAAACTTATAAACTCACTACTAGTGACATCTGTTGTCTGATAGATGAACTAAAATACAGCCATTCAGTTATTTGTCCACTTAGTCTACTCACCGCTAGATGGCGTTGACATTGTAAGAGCAATGTGGTTAATTCCGATCTCAGTTTAGAAATAGTTTTACTTTGGCGGATGTCTGCGGTCTGATACTCGCATTCCTTGTAAACGAACTGATCTATTTGAGTAATGGTTTCTATATATATAAGTATAAAACAATTTTCTTTGGGACTTCTTTGACTTTAATTCATAACTCCGGAATAATTCTTTGTTTATTTAAATCGTATCAGTTACTTTTATTTTATAATCTTATAAGATTCCCAATCGAAAACACTCTCAAGAATCTGTCTCATGTTTATGTAGAACTGCAATATCATATCAATAAAATTATTACTTACAGTACTTCTACGTTTTAATCGACTATGGTGCTTGTCCCTTACCAAATAAAGTACCGTACCGTCCCCAAATTACATAAATATGTACCTATCTAGGTACTTATTTTTGTAAGTTTTAAGTGTGGGAGAGCCATGCTTCGGCACGAATGGGTCGGCTCGACCGGAGTGATGACACGGTCTCACAGAAAACTGGCGTGAAACAACCACAGCGTTGTGTTTCACCGTGTGAGTGAGGTTACCGGAGGCCCAATCCCTATATCTCCAAATTCCTAATCCCTAAACGGTCGGCAGCGCACTCATAACTCCTCCGTTGCGTGTGTCCATGGGCGGCGCTGATTGCTTACCATCAGGTAATCCGTCTGCTCGTATGCCGACATAAAAAAAGTAATGACTTATTTTTTGATCCAACCATTTACTTTCCATATCAATTTTAAACAACATTTTTCCTACATGACTCCTAGATCCAGAATAGCAATTTGTGGATCACACTAAAAGTGCCGTGCGGGAATCGAACGCGCAACACGGATGTCCTAACAACTGTATTAAGTAGATAGCCTTAATACGGCGAGTAGTCTACTACTCGCCGTATTACTACCTCAGTCCCGCCCTGGATCAGGAGAAGGAACAGAATAGTTTTTAGTCAGTAAGAGTCTTAAACTCCTTCATCTTTCGCCCAAGGTGATAGATTTTCTCCCATAAAAAAACCTGCGATATTAAATGCAGGTGATATTTCCATTCGACTTAAATATAGACAGGGTATCTAAAGAGGTGACTTACAAACATTAAAAAGAAAACAAACAATACCGTTCCGTATATGAAGATATTATATTTTCAAAGAACATGTATTTTTTTATTTAATTTCAGCATAATTTCGGTCAATACAACTTGTGAAACAATACGACCCACTGTTATTTATATACCATTATATTTAAGTAACAAGTAACTAATATCAATTTACTTTAATACCATATTATTATTGTGACATGATCATACAATTCAACTACACACTTGAGTTGATACAAAAAGTTAACACGCGGGTGGGTGCGGGGCGTCGAGCCAACGCGAGCTGGAACGACATTTGGGTACTTAAACGATACGTCCGTCACCGTCGGCGTCACGACGGCGACTGACACGAATCCGGGAACAACGTCGACGCTCCGCACCACCGCCATACATAATACATCTCGCCTACCGTACTTATACATACTACATTCAGCGACCGTGTATAAAAGCCATAGAATTTGCCAACACTCTATAATTTGTGATTAAATAATATAACATCTCATATAAATTAGTGGGAGATAGAACAAGGAAGGATATCAACTTACACGCTAAAGGACATTGGACAGAAAACGAGTATAAACTATTTAAATAGGTCATTTGATGCACTTAGTACTAAAACAATGTCAAGATTCAAACGTATAACAAAATGTAACAGAAACAGTCGACCAATGCCCCTTATTACACGTTAAAACGTTAAGTTATCGAGAAAAATATGCGATATTCGATGTTTCTCAATTCATTTTATTTTAGTTAGTATTTATTTATTTTTATTTAAATTTCTGGAGCGACAATCCAATTTATGAAAATGGGATTTTTTTTTATCATTAAAAAACAATTGCTTAAAACAGCAATAAGCTTAAATGGCTTACATACTTAACTAGATGTACAAATAATTATTTTATATCTGTAATTATATATAGATAAGTAACAACGTGTGGAATTTAAAAATATCTTTCACAAATTGGATTTCGTAGACACCGGTTCTATATTATCACAAATACAATACTGTTTTTTTGTATAATGTTTTATTTATTTATAAAAAGCTCAAAACACGTAAATATAAAACACTTGGTACGTGGGTAGTTTTAAAAGTTAGCTGCCGTAACGGAAAGTAGACTTATTTTCCCACGCTTACTCATTTCAACGGTATCAGTCGAAGAGAGCGGTCGTCCCGACTCTTTTCACTAAGCAAACGAGGCGTCGCTTAACAAAAAAATATTTAATATTTTTTTACTTAGAATGTAAGGCAGTGCTTTCCGACATTGTATAAGCTTCTTGGCTCACCAAAATAACTCGAACACCGATCTCCTAAGGGGTTTATGATTAATGAATAAGAAGCTACTTTATTAAATCGTAATGATATGCAGACTGTCAGCGTTGAATTAATTTTTCCCATTAAATTTGTGCATGATATGTAATAAATTTATTGAACATTTGCCTGCTAGCAACTTGTTGTAAAACAATTACCAATCATACATCAGTGTCTACTAATTTAAATAATTCCACTAAATAAATCCCTAAGGCCGAAATATTGGGATAGTCCAAAATCCTTTTTCAAGGTGAAAATATTATAATAACTACTGTTTGTCTTCATACAACGTGGACGAAAGAGAAGCACAACAATCTTATGTCGAACTAATATTGGTAGCGATACTTCCGACTCCTAATCGATCATATCCCAACGAAACTTGCGATTCTTAAACACTCCTCGAGTGATTACAATGTCCCTAATTAATACAAGTTTCCCACACGTTGTATAAAAACATATAATTATATTTGTTAAAGCATTAGAACATTGATAGATTTGACTAGTATTACATTAAAAATAGACATCGAGTGGTCAACTATAAATATTGGTAATTATTGCTCTAATGTAGGTATACATCAACAAGTGCCGTACCATAGACGATAAATAAATTGGTTCCTTCATTCGTATGAGGTAAAAAAATAATCTCTTAATTTAGAGCACGAAAAAGGGGGACACTTATAGACAGAGATAGAGAGACAGAGAAAGAGAGAGATGGAAAGAAAATAAAACAAAAAAGTGTAACGAATAAACGAAACTAAAACTTAAACTCTTTATTTACAGAGAAATTGACATCTTTGGTATTATGAAATTCGGTTTTAATCTTTGACGGAAGTCTTTGCAAGCTGGCGTTAGTTTGTTTTTTGGTTGAAATATAATATTTGGCATTAAATGCTGGAGTGATAAGCGAGAATGAGTTGGTAAGGTAGCAGTGATGGGTGACTAGTGCGGTAATGATGGCTAAGGCCACAAACAGATTTACGTTTTGACTTAGCTGCTTTTGTTGTTACAGTACTGTCGCTGGGATGTCCTCCTCCTGTGGTCATTAGTAAAACATTAGCTGGTGCTTCCTCATCGTCACAATCAGCTACAGAAAGTACTAGAACAGTTGATGCTATGCAAACCATGCCAAAATTTACTCTATCACCTTTTGTATAAGAATTCAATTCATTTATAGCTACGCGGTTACACAATCTACCAATCAATCATTTTCATTTTTGTATTTACCTTGTTTCAGTTCTTTATCAACAATTTTAAATAGACTTTATTATACTCCCTGTTAAGACTTTTTTGCTTTGAGAGATGACCTTAGAATATTTTTATTATCAACTCCTTCACCATACTGATTTGCATCAACATTCTGTTCTTTATTTCCATCGCTGATTGCAACTGCATTCAATTTCAAATCTTATTACACAGCTTATAACATATAATTTGACTATAACCATTCCCTTATCTATAAGACAACATACTTACATTAAAATATTAGGCATTTTATAGCTGCTCTAAGTTCATCTATTAACCTTACTGTTCCATTCTAAATTGGTTTTAACATTCTAGTAATTGCATACGTTTCTAGACCTTATTATTCTTCTATTAGAGTTTATTTAACCACGTCCAGTATATCCAGCTCAATGTCATTATTTTCAATCCTTCTCATGTTATCAACACGATTTGTTTAATTAAGCACACACTCAAACACACTCGCATTATTTCTTATAAATTGAGCAAATTTTATTTCATTAAAATTCTCAATTTTAAATTCCAATTAGGTATTTTAGTTTTCAATTTTGGCTCTGCGAAATTCGTCGATAAGTGTCGATTGTTTTCTTTTAAACAATATCTCTTAGCGGCGTGTGGTCACTTATACATACATACATACCTAATAGATGGTGGACGATTTCTTATATACGTATTAAAATAAGCCTTTTTTGAGAGTTTAATAGGAACTCCATGCAGAAATATTCCAAGCATTATGTAAAGTGAAATCTTCAAAAAGTTATTGGAAGAAGTTGTGTTAAATTTGAAGCTAGATCAATTTTGGAGACTGGACTTGGAAAGCTAGCCGTAAAAATCTAAAGAGACGATGAAGGACAGCACAAAAATGATAAGGAGACAAATTTATTAAATACAAAAGTGCTACTTACAGACGAGAAGAAGGAAGAATTACGAAGACAGTCTACCAAGATTGATCCTAGCTAGTATACTAACCAAGTTGAAGTTGTAACCATAAGTTAACCGGCGTCACTCCATGCGTACCATCCGCATTCTTAATAGATGTAGATTATACCCAAACAATTACATTGTCGTCGCACGCTCGTAGTAGCTCGTCAGTCAAGGTCAAGTCTACTGGTAAGGAGCCCTCGGGCGCTGCCTGGGCCACTGGCTCGGTCCACTGCTCCAGTTCCAGTATTCGCTCGTTCTAGAATTCGAAAAGTTCTCACATGAATCGATCAATTTATTGCAAACCAAATTCCCAATCTACTAACGTCTTTGCGTCTCATGTTTACAGCACACAATAATGCGAGTATTAACCCGAAAAAGGGGGTAGATGAAGTATAATCGCTCGAATGTATGGGACTGTGACATCGCCACTTCAGTTTGCTTGCGACCACGATCTGTGCAACCAGGTCGAAACGTAAAACCTTCTAAGGTATTTAAATAATTGCTTTTCGCGTTAATACCCGTGTATGTTGTAAATTTCTCGATCGCTAAATTTGACGAAATTCAGATGTAAAGTGGCCAGCTAGGACGTATGATTTAACACTATTGGATTATTTTTGTGGGGTCATGTTAAGGACAGAGTTTCCAGGTTGTAAGGAACGAAATTGACTCGCCATTTTTCCAAAAAGAGATTAAAAACTTTGATGAAAAAATTGACATGTATCAGCTTGGTAGTGAAGGGCATTTGCCACATATCCATTTTTTCCAACATTTTCTCATCGTAAAATAATAAAAAATTTAGCCATGTTTATCTAAAATCTTTGTTTTATTGTGTTTTCGAAATCAAAGCCCTTATTGTTAAGCCCTGTGTAACACAATTAGAGGAACTTTCTTCATACAGCAGTGAAGGTTTGTTAAGACAAACGCTTAAGCAAAGACAAAAACAACTTTGAGAATATGGGATGGAAAAGCACCCTTAACTAGTAGTTGGTAGTCACTGAAATTGTAAGAACGATACAGTCCATCGCAAATAGAAACAACAATAATATTTACCTCTGTCTTAAGCCTATTGAGCAGTCTATCTCGCTCTGTCTTGAGCGTGTCGCATCGATTGGTCTCGCTCTCGTCGAGTACTCCCTTCACTTCCAATTCGGCTATTAGAGAATCCTTTTCGCTGATCAAACCTTCTAGCACGTCTTGGCTGAAAAACAGAAAATGTTCTGGTAAAAATAATTTTAATACATATAAATATTTTTATATTATTATGATAGTCAATGACTTGAATGTTTTGAGAACATTTCTTTTTATTCTTAATTAATATCTTCTCAAAGTTGTTTTTTTACTTTCTCTTATAAGAAATAGGGTTTTTCAAAGGCACGAAATGTCCATGACTGAAACCTATTTGACTAAAATTAAACATATCTGAAATTATGAAGTTGAAGTAGTATGACTATCATTTCTAAAATTATTCTTTATGCTTGACTTTTCATGCTTGACGAGCCAGAGTAAAAAATGCTGGAATGTGGAAGAGCCAAGCTTCGGCACGAAAGAACCGCTTCGACCGGAGCCAACGGCCTTACACAAACAATGAAAAAATGAATTTATTTTTGCAAATAGGCCATAAAACGGCACTTTTACACGTCAATTTATATGTGAAAAACTAGATGAAGCCGGCATTTCCTATCTGACTACTCTGAGAAGAAATGCCGAAACAAACTCAGAGGTCAGTCTCTTTTCAAGTCCAGACAATGTAAAAATAACATAATGTGAGAGAATCGTGCAAGTTCATTCTGTAGTGGTCTTTTGATGAAAGAACCACCCCAGTTTAAGTGGACCCGTTCTGAGGACAAAACCGGCGTGAAACTACTACAGCGTTGTTATTCACCGTGTGAGTAAGGTTACTGGAGGCCCAATCCTTCCGGTCCCTCATCTCCTTCCAATCATTTAAAAACCCCTAACCCCATAATGCCGACAACGCACTTGTAAATCCTTTGGTGTTGCCGATATCTCTGGGCAGCGTCGATTGCTTACCATCAGGTAATCCACCTAGCCCTTCGCCAGCGTATTACATAACAAAAATACTCATACTTACATGACGTGAGACAATTGTCGCAGTACATGATCCCTGTTGGTCTTACAATGTTGTAGCGAGTCTTCCAGCTGCTTCAAGCGCTTTAGCACTGAGGAACATGTCTCACAATTCATCGCTGAAGCGCTCTGGAGGGAACGTATTCGTTGCTCCATTTTACCCATCTGCAAAGATACAAATTAGAAGTTGTAATAGATATACGTATTTAGGCCTTTTACTAGTTTCAAAAGGAATATAGATATAATTTCTTTAAAAAGTATTAATATTTCTCTATCTTTGAATTTAAATATAAGAATTTCTGTAAACAGATCAAAAAAGAACCTAATTCACATAGATATCTCTTACTAATATACTTTTATACAAATTTATAATAATTAAAACAGAATCTTACCCTTCTTAATGTTTCAATTCTTCTCTGTTCTTCTTCATAGAATATTTTCTCCCTCTCTGCTGCTATCAAGAATGATTCCTTCAAAGCGTCCTCTAGTTCTAATATTCTCTTATCCTTGCAGTCACTCGGATTCGACACGCATTTCTTGTTTACAATCTGTTCAAGCTCATTAATTCTTTCGTCTTTACTTCTTACAACTGCAAGTAACTGCTCAAACTCGGCTATATTGTTATTTTCTCTCAGTGCTTCCTCTAATATTGATATACACCTTTGCTGTTCTATTAGTTTTGAGTTCTTAATTGCCATTTCCTTCGTCAAGTCAGATACTTTCCTCGTCAATTTACTAATGTTTGGTGCCTCCCTCTTCTTGTCCCTACAGTGCATCATGTCAAGCTCGTTGTCGCTCCTGCTCAGCCTACCTTTGTCTAGCCTACCTACTACCTTACCACTCTTTTGCAACTCGAAAAAGCTTTTACTTCGTTTAATTTTATTCATATCTGGCCCGTCTGGCATTTTGAGTACTTCTGATAATATAAGCGATGATTCGTTCAGCTCTATCTCTAAGTCTATCACTTTCATTTTGCTCTCTTCCAACTTAGCTGTGAGCACGTCTTTCTGTGTGAGCGTGCTCTCCAGCTCTCGCATAGCTGCTAGCTCGCTCTGTCGCGCGCGCGTCAGTTCCTACCGTGTGGGGTCGAAAGATGAAAATAAAATAACAAACAAAATAAAATCAATAAAAACGAATAAGTTTTACTTCAACAACAAAATTCTCATCAACAATATAAACTCAAAAATAACTAGAGAAAGGTCAACATAGATTTTGTTTTATTTATAGTTAGTTGATAGTTCGCATAACAAGATTGAAAGCTGGGTAACATCGACAAGTGGACAACTTACACGATCTATCTAGATACATGTTCACTTAACAGTTTTACAATATTGTATTTATTACTTAAAAAATAATTCCCGCTGAACACCACGATTATTTATTTGTTTTAAACATCACTTAAATTATCGCTAAACTAATAATTATCGTAATTGTGTGCAGTTACAATGTACGAGGGAGGAGACTCGCACGACCGGAGTTCAACAACAGATCAATATTATTATCTGAACACTTTGTTGTAAGTATAAGATTCGATAACAATAATTAGTACGAAATTGCGTTTTGTAAAGCTTATGAGTGAGATATTGTTACCGAAACACGTGGAATGGAAGTCGCTTGCGTCGGCGACGTTAGAACGACAGATAAAGAAAAAATGTTTAAAAGAAAAGAGCAAATAAATGAACGACAGTCTTGGTGTGCAGGACTAACTTAGAAAAAGCTTTTGAGGAAGCCAGCGGGTCCGGCCTGCGTGGAACAGAAAATGTTAGTTTGGTTAGTACATGCTTCAGTCATAACAAAACAGTAGCTGCTGAGGTATCAATTGAATTATGTGAAGCAGATGTAATCTAAGTTTAAAGTTCCAAAGAAAGAAATTCAATTATTTTTAGTCTGCGCAGTTTGTTTCCTAATTCTCTCAATACTTCAGCAGCTACAGTCAATTGTTTTTTGTTACTATATCTTCATTAGTTACATCACATGCTAAACATGCGTCATCAGAATAATTTCATGTTATAGAAAAAATCTCGTCTTTTTTTCACTTGAAGAATCAATTTTGTATTTAGTATGGTTTACAAGAATTCTATCACTTGATTAAACATGATTCTTTGTTATAAGTTTTTATAAAAGAAATAAAACGTACCTCTTCTCTTTGTGCTTGTGCTTGCTGCTGACTTTTCAGTTTGGCTTGAAGATTTCTAACAGATCTGTGAACAAATCAATAAACATTTTAGATTACGGAAACACTTTTAAAGCATCCAACCATGGTATTAACGTAATTTTTTTACGTGTTCCTATGGCACGAATGATCAACCGAAATCTCCCACAGAAAAATTGCAATTTTTGGAATCTAGAACGTGAAACATAGATCTCGTTTACTCTTGGTCTAACTGCATAAAATAAATCCTGCTGATATTATAAATATAAAAGTTTGTGAGAATGTTTGTTATTCGTTCACTCAAAAACGGCTGCAACGATTTGGTTGAAACTTGGTATGTAAATAGATGATAGCCTGAATTAACAGATAGGCTTTTTTGTGAGCGGAAAATCATCAAATGACTTCTCCCGCCCATAGTGTCAGACTCTCCTTAACCCCCCGTTTTTTCTCTCCTGCTCTGGGCCGAGGCCCCAGTGCCTGCGGGATAGCGCTTATCCCGCAACCCCGACACTACACATAGGCAGCTTTTCATCAACATACCGGCTGGTGAAGCTTGGGGGGAAAGTTTATATATAACGGTTATGAAAAGTTTATTGAAAAGTATTGTACTAACTGTTGCAGTTCCATGATCTGCTTCTCCTTCTGCGCCTGTTCTTCCTGCGACATCTGCACGAGTTGTAGCAGACGCTCGGTCTCTGCAGTGAGGCGCGCGGCCTCTTCCTTCGTCTGGTCGAGCTGCTGCTTCAGCCCGTCCGCGTCCTTCTGCGACTCTGATAGCTTACGGTTCAACTCTGACGCTGCCGCTGTACTGCCGCCGGCCTGAACAATATTTAGATCTGGATTTAAATTTTGATTCTTAAACATTGACTTTATATTATAAGTACTAGTCAAAAAAGTCACAATTACAAATATATCGAATTCTTTTTTAAAGACCGCTGTCCCGTAGAATGATATTCTTCTGAATTGTGGGTGCTTTTCAAAACATACAAATTCACATACACAAACTAACCAGACCCCAGGAATCAAACCCGCGACACGTTGCATAGTAGCCCAGGCACTACGCCAACCGAGCAGGCGAGTGAATTTGAAAATAAACGTCATCTTCAACAGTTTTTTTTTTAAATTATGAAATAATAATCCTTGTTGGCTTCTGAAAGTTATTTGATAGGGTTTGTCATTAATGACTTACCTTCCTCAAAGATGCTTCCATTTGGTCCATTTGCTCTTTCCTCTTCTTCAGCTGTCGATCTAACTCCGCCAACGCCTTCTCCTTCTCTTCCACGTCTTTCCGTTTGTTCTCCACCATTCTTCTCTGCTCCTCGAACTGTCTCCTCGCATCGTCCAACTTTTTAAATTCCTCTTGCAGTTGCTTCTTAGCTTGGGCTGTGTCTTCCCCAGCTTTGGCGTTTTGAGCGCCCGCAGCTTGAAGCTTCTTCGTCGCTTCTCGAAGATCGAGCTGTTACCGGTAAATAACAAATGTTAACGAACACAACACTATTACAGCATGTTGCATGTATAGCTTCATACACTCTTACACAAAGCTTAAGAAAGCTAGATATACGATTATCGCAAAATTCAATTCAACAAGCGAAACTTTATCTTACAAATAACTCTGCAAAATATATTTCAGTCGCAGCCAAATAATTTACGACAAATCTCCTCCCAAAATATATTTATTGAGATGAACGAACAATGATAAAAATATTGCAAATATACACAGTACAATAGCGAACGGCTGAAAAAACACGAATAAAATTAACATATCCATAAACATGAAGCGTTTATTGCAATGTTCTTGCACCGGACATTTACTGCCACCATCGAACGGGTAGGGTTGCATTCGGTGCACTGTGACTTGGAAAATGTATGGTGCAACAATTTGCTTGTCTCCGACACAAACACATTCCATGACAATCCATCGCGGTACACTGATGATGAAACTAATAAAATAAATACGAACAATGAGGGGTTGGAGGATGCCCAGCGGGCCTTGGGTGACATGCTACACTATACAACGACAACATGACGACCGGCGATGATCAAACCAAAATATGAACATCCAAATAAAACAATCTACTCGTTACACCGGTGCAATGATTTAAGCAGACAACGTACACTCGCTGCGGTCAATCGAGTTCGTGATTCATGCTAAAATTTAAAATCGATTTCATCCATTTCTCCCAACCAGATCGCATGCAAAATATCTTCGATTCCGGCTAGTAGTCTAGTGTGACATGTAAATATGTATCTACACACTGAAGTCTTTACCCATGTTTGCCATAGGTCTCTTTAACTGCTTGTCATAAAATGTTGAATACTGCTACTCTTGGTTGTGTATATTTTTCTTTGATCTCAAGCATGTCTTATACTTGACTTATACGCCAGACTTTGACTCATGTGATACAAGTATCACGTTAATGTAGAAAAACAACTTTGGGCAATAACTTCTTTTCAAGAAATCCCAGGATGGCGCAGTTCAGTAAAACTGATTGAGAGAATTGGATGTTTTATTATTATAGACAAAGTAAAAAAAATAAGTGGTTGGAAAAACTCGATTGAACGGGTGGTTGCGGCGTGGGCTTGTCGCCGGGCGATCCTCCAACTGACCTGGCTCTTCTCCAATTCTTGGACGAGCATCTCGAGCTGCGCCTGGCAGCGCTCGCGCTCGAGCTGGTGGGCGCGGGCGTCGGCCTGCGCGGCGGCCAGCGCGTCCGCCCCGCCCCGCGCGCCCGCCTGCAGCTGCTTCTCCAAGTTGTGTAGGCGCGACTGACACTCGGCCAGCGCGCGCTCCGCTGCAGCCGTCTTCGCCTTCTCTTGCTCTACAGCAGCGCGCCACTTCTCAATCTCTCCAACCTTCTGCGCTTCTTTTTCGGCCTTTTCAGCTCTCTGTCTAATAGTATCTTTCTCTTTAGTAACCGCTTGCACTTGCTGCTGCAGCTTAGCGATCTCTCTATCGCGACTTTCAATCACGCTCTTGGCGCCACCAGAGTCCTGTGCCATCTTTCGTTGTTCCTCTTTAACTTTACGCACTTCCTCGCGCTGCTTCTGTAATTCGGCCTCCGATGCGTTCAATTCTCGTTGGAAATTCACAAGCATGTCCTGAGATTTTTCCAACTGTGCTACTAATTGGTCGCGCTCGATTGTAAGTTGTTTTGTATCGGCTTCCAGTTTCACAATCTGTTTTTCTATAGCATCAGCTTGTTTATCTCTCTGTTCCAATATAGAAGCCATCTTCTCTCTGTCACGAACAGATTGAGCGAGTTCTTGCTGTAGTTTTACTAAAGTTTCTTGTGTGCGGTGATCCAGCGTTCTTTGTTGTTGGTCCACGTTGAATCTCATGTTATGAATTTCTTGTAACAATGCATCTCTCTCCTGTTCAACATGTCTCATTTCTAGGATGGTTCGCTCGAGACGTTCGTGCATTCTACCAAGTTCGTTCGTCATCCTTTCGTATTCGACACGCGTCGACTCATTGGTCTCTTGGTATTTCGAAAGATGCATCTGTGATTTCTCTAGTTCCTTCGCTAAACGGCCAGCCTCCATTTCTGTGGAATCTCTAGCTTGTATTGCCTTTTCAAGCTTGTCACGAAGGCGTTCGATTTCAAGTCTATCTTCTGTCCTGGCTTTGTCTCCTGCGACCGCTTGCAGTTTCATCCTTTCAATCTGTTGCAATTCTCCTTTGAGCCGTTCGTTATCTTTGTCCAGCTGTTCTGATCGCAGTTTCAGTTTTTCGCATCGGTCCCGGAATTTCTCGCACTCAATATGAGCGCGTTCTAGTTCTGTTCGTTGCTTTTCTAATGCCGCGTTCAACTTGGTCACTTCGCTCTTGGATAGCTCCAACTGTATGTTCATCTCGTGTAGTTTGGTCTCTGATTGTTCCTTCTCAGCTTGCAAGCGTTGAATATCTGCCTGCGCTGCCTCGTAGCGCTCGTGTTGCTTGTCGAGTTCCGCCTGCACTCTATTTAGTTCATTAGTCCATTTGTCCTGTTCGAATTGGTATTTACCTCGGACGGCTTCGTGGCGTTCGAGCTCCGAACGTAGACGGGATGCTTCTTCTTCAGCCTTGCGCGCTCGTTCCAGGTCTATCGTGGTCTTCTCTAACCGCGCACGCAGTCGTTCCACCTCCAACTTAGTCCTCTCGTGTTCTTCTTTAGTGTCGTGGTACTTCCCATATCGTGCCGCATATCGCTCAGCTTCTTCTCTCGCCCCGCTCGCATCTTGCTTCACCTTATCCAGTTCGGCTTGAACTCTCCTCAGTTCAGCGGCTACCTTGTCGTGTTTGTCATACATCTTTTCTAGTTCTACTTGTACTCTTGCCATTTCTTCCTGTGTTTTTTCATTCGAAGCCTGCGCTTTGCCACACTGTGTCATTGCCCTGTCATATTCAAATTGAAGACGTTCGTTATCTGCAACTAATTTCTCCTTCTCAGCCTGGTACCTTCTAAGCTCAATCTGGCTCTTTTCGTAACGATCTCGTACCATTTCGATGTCGACACTTAACCTATCCATGTCTTCCTTGGCCTTTTCTTCCTGTTCTTTAGTCCTACCAAGCTGAAGAGATGCCCTATCGTACATTTCTTGTAATCTAGCGAGTTCATCTTGTGTCTTGCGTTGTTCTTCTCTTGCTTTCGTTGCAATATGCGCATGCTTTTCGAATTCCATTTCAAGTCGATCTTTGTCTGCCTCGAGTATATCTATCTTGTTCTGAAGTCGATAGATTTCATTTTGGGACCTGAAACAATAACAGATTCTCGTTTTTGTGTCATTCTTATGTACTTATGGATAACATACACTAAGACGAACATCGCCACCAACACAAGACGACATGTAAATCCAAAGGTACCTGTCATACTTCTCAAGCATTTTCTCGTATTCTTTGTGGGCGGTTTCTTTTTCTTCGATCGTTTTTTGTGTGGAGTACAAGGCTTTGTCCAGCTTTTCTTTCAATATTTCCAGCTCTGTAAGGGCATCGTCTCGTTCCATCTGCAAATAATGAACACCAGTCTCATTAAGAAGAATTTAATTTTCATTAATTCTGTTACTCAAGAATCAAGACTACTAGTCACAATTGGGATAATCTCATAAACCAGCTACTTTTTTCATTGGAAAGTATATTTTATCGATTTGACATAATGCATGAACCTTTTCAACGAACTAACCGTTAGTTTCTGATGCTGCTGATGTGCCTTCTCCCATCTTTCTCTGAGGACGTCCAGCTCTGTGGTGGCGCTGTCACGGTCTCTGGCTGCTCTGTTGGCTGCAGCCGCTGCAGCTTCAGCTCTCTCGCGGCAGCTTGCGGCCTCTGCCAGTGCTGTGTCTCGTTCTTTCTGGATGCGAGTTACAAGGGCCTGAAAAGAAAAATTGTGATTAATCGATGGTAGTTACAATATTTCTTTCTTAAATTGTTTTTCCATTATATTACATTTCTGGTGCAATTATTGCATCTTTACTATTGTTCTATATTTGTAAGTTTGTATGTAAGGGGTCCGCTCTTCTATCTTTGGAACCTCTCTGGTCGGATTTCCAAAATTCTTTCACTACATGCTATAGGCTATAGGCTAAATTATACTTCATATGCGTATTTTAGTAGAGCTATCGCTTTAAACGCTGCTGTTTTTAATATCCCGGGATAAATTACTTTTAAATGTGCGAAGCTAGTTTTGATATAAATGTCTACTGTTTTCTTCAATATTATTGATTTCCAAGTTACTTGTACCTACGTATGAGAGGTCTTTCCATACTTTGGAAAATCGACAATCCTAATAAATTCTGTACTATTGAGGAATAGTCTTAGTTGCGACTAATGAACTAACAATTTTGTTTATACCATTACATTATCAATCACAAAGCTTCAATCTGCTAATTATAGTCCGATTGACAATCAAAACTAGAGCTAGTCAAATATATTACCAAAATTACGATAATCTCTGTTCAATTGAACCGAAACGTGGTAATTAGTTGAACTCTAATTACGAAAATCAATAAGACGAGTCACATATGAAATCACATGACATTTGGAATGTATTAATTAAATTAATTGAGTACATTACAACGCGATAATATTATTATAACGTTATTATAATGAAATCAAATATCATGGGATCTTAATAGCATTTACGCGATACGGTTTTGCATACAAACTTTAAAGTTACCGTAGACAGTACTTACTGAAACGATTAAAATGAAAATGTTTATTCATACGATATAATTAATTATTTTTATTGTCAGCAATTTTGAAAAAAACCCTAAAGAGAAAGAGAGACACCCAAACTATCCAAATCCAAACTAATATTTAAATGCGAAAATAACTATGTCTGTCTGTCTTTTCTTCACGCCTAAACTACTGAACCTATTTATGTGTTATTTGGAACAGACATAGTTTGGAACTCGAGAAAGGACATACGATAGTTTTTGAAGAAAAAATCTGCAGGAAGTCACTATTCCACGCGAACAAAGTCGCGGGTAAAAGCTAGTAATTTTATATTTCAGCAAACTAAGTTATTGGATATGCAAGAGTTTCAAAAAATAATGATTTAAGTTGACTTGGTAATTTTCCCTTCTCAAAAAAATTATATAAACCAGTTTATCGTAGTTTTGCTTTGTCATTTAGTCTTTCCGTAAATTTATTGGTCAAAAATCAGTCTAAGTGTTATTCTAGATTATAATCTCTTTATATCTGTACCAAATTGTATTCAAATTTGTTGAGTAATATTTACGTGAAAGAGTAACAAAAATCCAAACTTACAAATTTTCGTATTTATATTATTAGTAAGACGACGCGGTGGCCCGGAGGTTAAGGCAAGTACCAATGTGACTTTTTCCGAGTTATATGTACTTTCTTTGATTATTTAGATACCACTGACTTACGGTGAATGTAAACATCGTGAGGAAACCTGGACTTATAATTCCTAATTATAAGTTTGAAATCGCCAATCCGCCTTGAGCTAGCGTGATGATTAATACTCTAACCTTCTCAATGTGAAAAGAGGCCTTTACACAGCAGTGGGAACTTATCGGCTGATGATGATGATGATGATGATGAAAATCGAAAATTTAACACAAGAATCAAGACCGATATCGAAGTTTCCAGTGCTTGTAGAACTTGGCAGTATTCCACTAAAGTTACATGTTACAGCGACAACAAGTAGGGCTCGCGTCTTTACAGCCAATAAACATGGCCGAACTTGCCAAATATTGAACAAAACCTCTTTCCTATTGCTCAACAATTTTATTGTTTATCGGAGAACGAGCAGTGGAACGAGTGGTTTATAGCTGTCAGCTATTCTTTTTTTTAAGATTTCTTTGTAGATATTTTTGTTTTGTGGTAAGTATTCATTGAAATAGGCCGTTCTGGTCTGTGATTGTTCACTGTTGGACTGTGAGTGTTCCCTAATAAGAGCTTTAGCCATAATCTCATTGGAAGATCGCGTTTGGTGTGGTGGTAACCAATTTTGCAGCTTGAACATATTACGTAGTGGCTATAATCATATCCGTGGTAAGAGAAATGTTGGAGACAAATTTAATATATTCTGCTCTACTGTCACTACAAAAATACGGTTACATTAAATACGGCACGTTCTGGGTAATTATGCCAAAAACATTGAAACTAAGCATACAGAAATTCAGACCCACGCTACCAGCCCACGATGTTACAGACGCAGTCAAATTTATATACACTCTAACCATTAATAAAAACGTATAATAGTTACCAAAATTTAGAAAGATTCAACTTTATAACGATACCTTCTGTACCGTTAGAAAATTCAGATTCAGACAAAATTTCGTGCATTCTAACCAAAAATTGAGACATTGACGTAGGTTAGCCCTTAACTTTGGCTCTTAATAACCCTCAAATCAATGAAAGTGAGCCAAGAAAATAACTTATAATAATAAGTAAACCCAGGCAAACACAACGATCTTCCAAAAAATCTGACAAAATTCCAAAAAGAGCATTAAATCTAAAACCCGACTACGTACAAGTTGAATGCCCTTAAAACGGGCGACGACAGAAAATCTATCATCGAATAACATGCTATCAGTCCGATCAAAATACAATATCGAAGCAATCCTTTAAAATTGATCAGAAAATGTTCAGTCAGATCCATATCGCTGGCTAAGTGGAGAACCGATTCCAATTCAATCCATTCGATGAACGATTCTATACAACTGATATTACCGTCTGACCGGAATATCGGTCGCTGATCTACTATTTTCGTAGTGACGTTATTTACGTACATATTTTTAGTACAACAACGTTAATATTGTATAATACTGTAGTAGGCTTCAAGTAGAGAAATTCAATACTTTAAATGAAATCTCAAAAACTGGTTTTCTATAAATTGTGTATGATATCGCAACATTACATCGCATCATCAGCTTTTAAGTGCCCACTGCTGAGCAAACGACTCTTCTCATAAGGAAGAAGGTTTGAGCATTAATAACCAAACTTGCTCAATGCGGATTGGCGATTTCAAACTTATGATTAGAAATTATAAGTCCATTATAAGTCCGATTAGCTCGCCGCCCGACCAGAACCAACTCGAGCGTACTCTAGGAGCCAATAGAGCAACACTGACGGGGCATACAAAAAGGTTGTCTCACGATGTTTACCTTCACCATATGTCAGTGGTGTCTAAATAATCATAGAAAGTAATATGACTCAGGAAAAGTCACATTGGTACTTACTTGCCAGGTTTCGCTCCCACGTCTTAATGTATGAGTAGCGAGCGTTTAGAGCAACTAGTTTTGAAACAGTTACTATTGGATTTTTGAAAGAATAACGTTATATTTTTCTATCAATCTGAATTTGATATTTTTGAATAAGGAACAGATTCGAAACGAACAACTAGCATCACAGACAAACAGATAGATATCCATGCTGGCGACATACAAAAATGACTCTTATTTATTTACCTATAGAAGGATTAATTAAAATAAACAGCTTTGGTTGCGTCTTTATAATAATATGACCATTTCACAGAAAATTCGAATCCCGGAATTAATAATAACTCTTGAAAGGATTCTTCGAAAACTAGGATACGAGCGAATAACACCGACGTCATATTTCATTTGACGTGATTTTAGCAGAGATTCGTTGACGTGACGTGACGTTACCGTTTGTAGAACGCGGCTTTACTGCGACTGTATTTTATTAAATCTGTCCAATTTTAGTATGTGATTAGAAATTTTTTATACTTATATAACATTTTGTCGTCGTTGGTCGCGTCGCACTTATCGCGACTATGAGCCCCGGCGTAGCTTGAAACTAGTCGAGATACCTCGTCGAAAAGTTACTTAAATATGGCGTTCAAAATCACGGTGTTGTATTTCTGTACACTGTATCCTTCTAACATCATAAACAAGAAAGTTTGTACAAATGAATGGATTTAACGTAAAAAATACTGAACCGACCGAAAGAAATTTGGCATAGAGATAACAGGAGCCAGTTCCACAGACTTAGTCCAATAGGGCTGATGGTCAACCGGGGTTGGTAGTCAAGCGCAATAATATACCGCGGCTTCCGCCTTGGTAAGTAAAACTGGGGTGGTGTTAGATCAGCAAGAGTCTGACACTCCTTAAACTCGCAAATTTTTCGAAAAGACATTTACGTTTCCTAGCATTAAAATCGTGTTTGTTGTTTATTCTATTACTAGCTCTTGCCCGCGATTCCGTTCGTATGGAATAGTGACTTCCTGCAGATTTTTGAAAACTATCCTATGTCTTTTTTGGAGTTCCAAACAACGTCTGTATCAAATTTCACAGAAATCGGTTCAGTAGTTAAGGCTTGAAGAAAAAACAGACGGTCAGATAGACAGACAGACAGACAGACAGACAGACAGACAGACAGACAGACAGACAGATAGACGGACAGACCGACAGACAGACAGATAGACAGACAGATCGACAGATAGACAGACAGATCGACAGAAAGACAGATAGACAGATAGGCAGACAGACAGATAGATGGACAGACAGACAGACAGACAGACAGATAGATAGGCAGACAGACAGATAGACGGACAGACAGACAGACAGACAGACAGATAGACGGACAGACAGACAGACAGACAGACAGACAGTCAGACAGACAGATAGATGGACAGACAGATAGACGGACAGACAGATAGACGGACAGACAGACAGACAGACAGACAGATAGGCAGACAGACAGACAGTCAGACAGACAGACAGGCAGACAGACAGAGTTACTTTCGCATTTATAATATTAGTTTGGATTTAAGACTAATATTTCAATCGAGCAAAGCAAGTATCGTAAAATCCCAATATTATCTCTCAATATTTCAATTTCAGATCATGTCAGAGACGCTTATACATGTTACATAAAGCT